TTGGTAATAAAAGTTTAATCACCATGCTACAATCGTTGGTACTCGAATCTGTAACATCTAAAAAACAACAACGATTCTTTTAACAACTGAAATAAGTTAATTTGTGTAATTTATTTTATGTTTAATACGATGGTCATGAATTATATGGTATTTTATGTTCATGAATTTAATTAATTGTAATTTTTAGAAGGTGTTTTCACCGATGTCAAGTGTTACTATTTCGAACATAAATTTATATATTAAGTAAATTTTAAATACAAATCATTGTGGGAAATTAAAGGAGAGATTAGAAGATATGAGAGGGAATGGTTAGGCATTGATGGCTATGTGTCTCAAAGGTTTACGTTGTGAGGCTGAGCACGTCTTTGTATTCATCATTAGGGACCAAACCCTTTGTATCCAATAATTTCATTAGTTAGGTCCATCTCCCTTGATTAAATAGCTTTGAATTTATTTTATTATTTCTGCAAATTACATAGGTGATTTTTATTTTTTTAATAGTACGAGATGATTATAATATAATATTTGTTCAATTTTTTTTAATCATTGATAATATACATACCCTACAAACATATCTATTTGTACTCAAAACTTTTAAAAAATATTCTCTTTTAATATCGATACCACTTAGTAAATTTATTCATGATATTTTTTATATAGAAAATTCATTCATAAATTAAAAAAAAACATAAAAAATAATATTAGTATATAAATATTAATACTATATTATATAATACTACACAAATACAACTACACAAATACTTCAAAGAAATTACACAAGTAAACAATCTTTATAGCAGATGGTTAAAAACTTTCAGTTGACACATTATCTTACATTAGGTTGTGAGTTCAATACTCATTACGAGCAAAATTAAAAGCTCTTAGTTGACATTTTCCTTCTCCCCAAGTCGTTAGTTATAAAGATTTTGGATTTAAATAGCTATGCCTACATGTGTATACATTATGCATGACTAAAAAAAATCTTAATGAATAATACCCTTAGAGTGTGTTTGGTTCACATAATGTAAGATTATCAGTGGGAATAAAAGATTACCAGGTAATAGGATTACTGAGAATGTTGTATTTTGTGTTTGGTTGATTTAGCAGAAATGTAAGATTACCGTGTTTGGTTAAAGGAATAAAAGATTATTGGAATGTATATTTGATCAAATTGTCCTTATTATATATTTTGTTTTTTGAACAAGTTGAATTATACTCTAATATTACTATAATTAATTTATATATTTTCTTTAAAAAATTTAAATTTATAAAATTTATAATTTTTTTTACAAAATTGAAAAGATAAATAGGTTTAATGAAAGGGTAAAATTTTATTTTAACCCCTGAACTTCATATAAAATTTTAATTATAGATTTTTTTTGTAAATTTAAAATAGTTTAAGGATAAATTGTAATTTACATTCGTAGAATTTTTATTATTCAACGACAGAAGAAAAATATTTTAGAAAAAAAAAATTAAGGGCATTTTAGTCCAAAATGCCGGTAATCCAACAATACCTAAGGGAATGGATAATCACATTCTCGGTAATATACCTAAAAAATCTACTGTTGGTAATAAAAGATTACCGAGAATGACATTACAGACCAACTAAACGGGGAATAAGAATTCTATTCCCCCGGTAATACAACATTCCTAGAACGAGACGGGCCTTATATTTATAATAAAACTACTAAAAAAACTAGAAAAATAATCAACTCTATATCCAAATGTATTGGAGGGCACTTGATCCTATGTTGACCGTACCTGACAAAAAAACCTAACCCACACTGACGAACAGTCTCACCCAACTAGGACAAAATGGTAAAAACCTAACAAACGAGTAAAGACTCTTTTCCTCCTATTCATTTTTGTTCACAGTGTATTAATGTTTTGGCTCAATATACCAAATACCTCTAAATTTAGAATTTTTCTTCATAGTGGTACTTTTTTCATTAATTTGGAGTAGGTACAAGAATATCTGTTCAAAGATAACTCTCAATCATTTGATGTTAAATGCTCATACGTCTGACACTCTGAGACTTGAATCCGAGATCTCAAGAAATAACAATAATTCCTTTACCATTGAGGTCGTTTGATTCGTGCTTCATGATGCCGTTTATTTTCTTGGACCGCTTTGATACTTGAATCAGTCGATTGTTCTCGGAGTGACACCTAAACTAGTTTTCTGGCTACTTTAGTCAATAAATTTGGTATCTAAATTTTAAAATACTTATCAAATTAATACATTATATAATGTGTTATTTCAATAATCAATCAAATAATAACATGTAACATACGATATCATAATATTTTTTTTATCATCGATAAATGTTATATCATAATTTAATTTGATCGTTAAATCATCACATTAGAATAAATATTATTTTGAGAAACATTTTCATGTTCAGGTGTTAATAAAAAATTCAAATACTAAGTTGAGAAAGACCATATAGCTTTTTCGTTTTGTTAATATCATTTCAATTAGATCTTTTTATTAATATAACCATATTCATGAGCATTAACTTTCAGTTTATTTCAACATATATCATATTTGATGTATAGGGATCAAGTTTTAAAATGAATATGGGCTACTATATGAACAATTTAAATAAAAGAACATTATATCGTTCACTTTAATAAATATTTAATAAAAATATAAATTCATTTATTTTTAACACTTTATATTAAATTATTCAGTATCATAATACTATTAATTTTAACTTATTTTTAAATAATTTTAAAATTTAAATCATAATCGAGGATGTTTAATGCAATAACTTTTACTATTAAAATTATGGATAAGTATACAAATGATCCTCGACTATACGGTATTATTTTTGAGTTTTTTCGAATATTGAAAGTTACAAAATAGTCATTTAAATATAGGATGTTACTTTCTTGAGTCTATGACTATTAATTATGTTTTAAATTCATCATTTTCTGTTAAAAATTGACAACAATTTGTGTTGGGTGTTAATATGTTGTTGGGATATGATAAATATGATATCAAAATCTCAAACGACTATCATTATCTCGGACAGTAGATTAACATCCAACTCAGACTTATTATTTTTTAAATATAAAATGATGAATTTGAAACATTATGAATAGTTGAATGATCATTTTGTAATTTTAATAGTCGATGGACTCAAGAAAGCAATATCCTATAATTGGGGGATTGTTTTGTAATGTTTAGTAGTTAGGACCTCAACAGAGCATTATCATATAGTTGGGAGATAATTTATGTACTTAACCCTAAAATTATTTATTTAGCATTTAAATAAATTGAAAAAAAGGGAGAAAAACCGAGAGAGAGATGAAGGTGAAAAAGCACAGTATGCACACTGCGCATCGCCGCTCTCCTTTCCATTCAACCCAAACAAATCAGATCTCTCTCTATCTCTCTTAATTAGCTGTTTGAAAGTAATCTCTTTTCGCTCCTTTTCCCTTTGTCAGCTCGTTAAATAGTTCCACTCACTTAGAAGAATTAAAACCCTTTCGCTTCACTCTCCAATCCCCTCAAAACCCAAACTTTAACCAGTGAAAAAAGAAGACCCACTTTTTCCCCACCTTTTCTAAAGAACCCGTTTTGGACCCAAGTCCCATTCCATGCTTAGAAAAAGGGTCCTTCAATATGGATCCTCCATTGATCAATGACTCGTCATTTTCAGCTGCAATCCTTCAGCTTATAGCCTTGCTGAGATTTGGCCTTTCTCGATCAACCCAGGCTCCGACCCGACTGTTGTAACCGGACGTGGGTTGGGGCTCCGAATGGGTACCTGGGCGGGTTTGGAGAGACTTCGTGTCTTCGAGATGGGTCCATGGAGAATCTACTTTGACAGGGCAGAGTGTTGGGTGTGGAGGTGAGAGAAAAGGAAGGAATTGAGCTCTGAAGATGAGTCTTCCAAGCTTGTTTCTACTACTAGTAGTGCAAATGAATTGGTGGCTTCTTGTTTTCATTTCCTTTTTGTAAATTTTGGAATCTTAGGTCAATTAATGCTGACATTTAGTTGTTTTTTCTGCGTTAATTTAAGGTTTTTGGATTGAATTCGTGTGGGATTTGTTTCATTGTCCACTTACTTTACTCTAATTCAGTTTGGAACTTAAGTCAAGTTGTGGTTTGCTTGGCTTCGAATTAGTGAGGATGAAAAGAAGTATTTTAAAGATTCGTATAATTTGGAGCTGAGTTACATTCACATGAGTTACTTTGGTTTATATTTTGGCTTTTATGATGTCTTATGGTTTAGTATTCTAACAGAATGATTCGAATGGAAAACGGATGAAAAAGCCGGGGTGAAGAATGAAAATGCGGGCCAGAAAGCGGACGTGGACGAGTTCCGGAGAGGGTGGCAAGCCAGACCAAAAAGTAAGCCTGCCGAGCCGCCTAAACAAGACTATTCATGTCAGCCAGAAGGGTCAAGCAACCGATAGCCATAGTCTGGCTGAGAGAGTAGTCACCTTTAATCCTTGAATTTGCAAATTTTGATATTGAGACTTAGAAATGTAACTTTCCTGTGCCGGTAAACAAATTTCGGATCCGGATTCATGGGTCTTGCTAGTTCATGTCTTAGTGTGAATGGTATAGCAAGGAGGTTTAGGCCCTTTTGGAACATGTTCTTAGAATAAGTTTTTCCTCTACAGGCCAGGAGAGAGCGAATTAGCGAGAGGATGAAGATTCTTCAGGATTTGGTCCCCGATGCAACAAGGTTTTTACTATTGCGTAGTTGTGTTCTATTACTCATTTATTCTATGTTTTGGTCAGTTTCGGTCTCTCTTTCTTATTATTATTATATGAAACTTGATACGAACATTTCAATCAGGTCATAGGCAAGGCACTTGTGCTTGATGAGATTATTAAACATCCAGTCGCTGCAGCAGCAGGTTGAGTATGAATCTTACACATCTTGTTGGAACAGTGTCCCAATTCTCGAGGTATTGTGCTATCCTTTAAAGCCTTAACATGTTATATGAATGTAATTTTACAGTTCTTGTCAAATGAAACTCGAAGCAGTTAATTCAGGATAACATGAATCCTAGCCTGGAAGGCTTTCGTTCAAAGATGTAAGTATGCTTATGTTGATTGATCACATAGTATTTGTGTCAGCAAGTAAGCTATTGCATGAATGCACTGAATTGAGGTCCTGTGAGATAATCTAGTAATAGAAGATCCGGAATTTAGAATATGAAGCAATTTATAACCAAGCCTGAGCTTAAATTCTTATGTATATGTTTCCTCTAACACAGACGCCAGGCAAGAATATTCTAAAATACTTGCTTCCTTTATCCGATGGTCCTCTCGAATGAACCTAGGCTTTCAAACAACAACCATTGATTTTCTAAGTTTTAGTGTTGCATGAGTGAAGTAAAGTGCAACATGCATGTGTGTGTGTATATAAAGCTTAAGATATATAATAAACTCTAATAATGGTCTATTTTATCTACAAAACATGCAATTTTGTTGGTCGATATGCATGATTTCCTTATGCTCCATCTCTGTTGTTGAATTCTGAAATATTGGTAAAGAAATTATAGAGAACTTAATGAGGTGGGCATTTTCTTTTTCGTCTACCACCTTGCGAAAAAGTGCACCTAGGTGCACTAAGCCTTCACTTGATCGAATGCACCTTTCCCGGGCTTTTCTGCATCTTTTGTTTCGTTTTTTTTAATGCAATTGTTTTACCATGTAACTCACCTATTGGCTTTATTCATTGATGCCATCACCCAAACTTAAATCTGCACTAGTCACATGCTGACTATTCGCCTTTAAAATAATACCTTTGGCACTGCAGAACTTGGCAGACGTACTCCGATATGAGCCGTTTAATGCTCTTGAAGTTATCGTCCTGCAAAGAAAATGCATGTTTGGAATTGTCAGCACTGTCTAGTTCTAGGGAATTTATGTACAAGTTAAATTTAGCAAATATACAATCTTTTTTGCATATAAATCGTAGAATAATTGGAGCTAGCTCCAATATCTTAACATGCAGTATGGTGTTTAAGATTGGTTTGCAGCCAATAGATGGTGCTGGGATGATATTTGGCTCACAAGCAGCAAGGGAATATGCTCAAGGATCGCAAACGGAGTGGTTGCAGATGCATGTCGGTGGGAATTTCGAACGAGCGACGTAACTCGGAGAATCGTCGTTTGCTTACAATGCATAAGAACAATCCGTTTGTCGTCTTTTAGATCGAACGGGGAAAAAGATTGCGAACGGTTTACATGAGTTGCAGAAAATGTGTTTCATAAATGGACTGGTGTTGCTAAATTTTTAATATCAAAATCTGTTGTAGAAAACGCATCTAATCTGCTGCTATATTTTCCATTTGAGTAGATTCAGACGAGTGTTTCATAAACTCCATTGTATCGGTTACTGGACAAGAATTGCATCCGTGTTCTTATGGCTTACCCGTCTTATACGTTTGGGGATTGTAGTTTGTTTTATGGACAAGAATTGATTCCTTGTTTTTTTCTTCTTCCGGTGAATATTTTATTTTTATTGTTAATCTCAATCTATTTTCATTCATACAACGATCTTATATCTATGTACCTAAATATTTTATCAAATATTAAGGGCTTATATCATAAATAAGTACCTAAAGCGTACTCTCTTTTTTCATTTAAAGTATTTTTTGGTCAAAATATGTACCTAAGTATTTTACGTCAAAATAGGTATCTAAAGTTTTTAAATTTTTTCATCTAAGTTCTAAAAAAATTGACGTGTGACATTAATCAAATAATACTTTAGGTATTTATATGAAAATTTGAATACTTTAGGTATCTATTTTAACCAAAAAGATAACTTTAGGTACTTATTTTGATCAAAACATACTTTAGGTATGTATTACTTTTTTATTATATAAGAGAATATTAAGAGTGAATTTTGACAAAAGTTGAAAAATGGCATTTAAAGCACCAATTTACAAATGTTGCAATGTAAAGGGGCAATTCATAAATGGAGGAAAATTCAGGGGCGTACAAACGCAAATTCTAATAATTATCTGGTAAACAAAACTGATGTCAGCTTCACAGCAATAGAGGAAAAGGAGAGCTTTGAGGTCCAAATTTAATCTCCCCCAAACCCTAACCATGACCTGATCCAGAATCCCCAAAATCTCTCATCTTCATCTCCCCTGTCTGATCGAATCCCCGTCACAGAAGAAAAAGCAAAAGCAAAATCAGCACCGAAGCTCTCAACCGCTAGACAATGCCGTCCCACGGGGATCTGGATCGTCAGATCGACCACTTGATGCAGTGCAAGCCGCTATCGGAGGCGGAGGTGAAGAATCTGTGCGAGCAGGCGCGTGCGATCCTCGTGGAGGAGTGGAATGTTCAGCCGGTGAAGTGTCCCGTCACCGTCTGCGGCGATATCCATGGCCAATTCCACGATCTCGTCGAACTGTTCCGCATCGGCGGCAACGCTCCCGACACTAATTATCTCTTTATGGGCGACTACGTAGGTAGGCTCGGTTTTCCTTGCATTTAATTGTCATTTCTTAATTTTTATTTAAGTTTAATTATTTAATTTTCTGTAAGATTTATTGATATGTTTTTTAATATTTCGGGATTTTTGGTTAGACTATAAATATTGTTGATTGAAAACGAAAAAGTTGAAAGGAAGGTTTGGGAAAGGAAATGCTGCCCTTCTAATTTTTTTCGTGGCTGGAAATTGGTTTTGCTCGTTTGTACAAGGCGAAGCTCAACTTTTTAAGATGGGATTTTTGGGATAGTAAACTGTATTCATCATCTAACGAACTGAAATAGAAATGTTTCTCTAGGTTAAGTTAGAGCAGTTGAAGTAGAAATATGTAAACTTTTGAGGATTATTTCCTTATTTAGCCTGAACATCATGGTTAAATTTCTAATTATCCGAGTCCATTTCTGTGTGTTCAATGCATGGTTGATCCTAATGCTGGCTTCATATGTGATCTTCTCAAGTTATTTCCATACATTAAATTTGAGCCACAAATGGAACAAATTTACACCTAAGCTAGAATTATCCAGGTTTCCGGAATGTAGATTTGAAGCGCTAGGAAGTGATTACGCAAAATGGTAATGTTACCTGTAAACAGGGGCTTGTAGAAAGATAGTGGATGGTCATTGAATTGAGTTTTATGAACAATCTAGTAATGATGGTTTACTGTTTTTTCTTCTTCTCTCATATGGTCTATTCTGGCCCCTTTTTTTGCTTAGCATTACAAAAAATTATACATAGTGATGCATCGTTGTAGTTGATTTGCCAATCAGTCCTGATTTACGTGTTTTTCTTGCTATATGCAGATCGAGGATATTACTCCGTGGAGACTGTCACTCTTCTAGTTGCACTGAAAGTTCGTTATAGAGATAGAATAACTATTTTAAGGGGAAATCATGAGAGCCGCCAGATAACTCAAGTGTGCGATATACACATTAGTGTTTTTCCCTTTTCTTTCTGTCTTGTTAAACCTGCAACACTTACTATTTAAACTAATTTGACATCATTCATATAATAGTATTAATGTGTGAAGTTATTTAGTGATTTTGCTAAATCATTCTATGTTCATATCAATAACCAAATTCTGCTCTTTCAGGTATGGCTTTTATGATGAATGCTTAAGAAAATATGGAAATGCTAATGTCTGGAAGCATTTCACTGACCTCTTCGATTATTTACCTCTGACTGCCCTGATTGAAAGTCAGGTTTGAGTTCTCTTGCACTCTCATGTCGATTATTTCCAAATCTCAGCTGTGAGCTGATAACTCTTCATATTCCTTGCCAGATTTTCTGCTTGCATGGTGGACTGTCACCATCTTTGGATACATTAGATAACATCCGTGCTCTGGACCGCATACAGGAGGTAAACTTCTAGTCATATCATATACTTGGGAGTTAAGTGTTTTTAGTTTTAGAGTATATTGTCTACCTTGTTAAAAAAATAGTGTGCCCCATAGAATCTTTTGGAAATCTTGTAATGGATTCATACTAAATACCCCATAGTAGAATTCATTATGGATATTATCATTTGTGAATAGGAAGTGGTTTAGACTGTTAAGAGTAAGCTATTATGGCTCTTATGATTTGCATGACTCACTTTAACTGATGATACGATCACTCACACACCATGAATGCTGGATTGCTGCGTGTCTTTGTTATTGCCGTTCCTAAAGAGACTAATGAGTGTTGATGCTCATATGGTGAAATCACAACAGCAACATCTATTAAACGTGTGGTCACTCTTTTTCACTCTGGTTTCTTTGTTGTACTATTTTCACATTTATTGGCTGTGTAGGTTCCTCATGAAGGTCCAATGTGTGATCTCTTATGGTCTGATCCTGATGACCGATGTGGATGGGGAATATCTCCTCGGGGAGCAGGGTATACCTTCGGACAGGATATTTCTGGGCAGTTCAACCACACAAATGGGCTCACTCTGATTTCTAGGGCTCACCAGCTTGTAATGGAAGGCTATAACTGGTCCCAGGTTTGTGGATCATATTTTGAATGATTTATTCACACAGACCATGCATATTGATCTCTGTATGATCATTCTTGCAGGACAAGAATGTGGTGACAGTGTTCAGTGCACCAAATTACTGCTACCGTTGTGGAAATATGGCTGCAATACTAGAGATCGGGGGAGAATATGGAGCAAAGCTTTCTTCAGTTCGACCCGGCTCCTCGTCAGATTGAACCAGACACCGCGCGTAGAACGCCCGATTATTTTTTATAATTCTCGTAGCCAAATCTTCATATTCCCTGTTGTGTTTTTGTAGATGCGTCTTACAAAAATCAGAGAATTCTGGCATCTAGTTGAGGGAAGGACAAAAGAAACCTTTGTTTTCTCTATCATTCTTTTGGTTGTTCTGCCGTTGCATTCATATGAGTCTATAGGTTTCATTTTTAGAATAACAAACTTTTCTTCTCTTCTTCTTTCCTTCAATTGGTTTTTTTCCCCTCCGTGTTTCGAGTCCGAGTTCGAGTCGTATGGGGCGATTAAAGTTGCATGTTCCATTTACTTTTTCATGTAAAATGTTGATTATATGTGAGAGATGTTCCTTGATTTCCCTAACTTGTTATTTTTGGACTTCCTAACTGAATTATATTAAGCACAATTTTGAACTGCAAATGTCAGTGATCTCTTGGTGAATGCCATTTCCTCTCTTCAACCCTTTTAGTGGTGGAGGATTTGTTTAAACCACCCCTTTAGTCACCAAATTATTAGGGATGTTATGCTTTGGTCGTTGAACTAAACCACTTTACAAATTTAGTCACTAATGTCACTCTTTAACTTCAATTTAGATGGATGAGCTGACGTGGTCGTCTTCTAATTTTAATTGATATAGTTACACATTCAGTTTTTATTATTATCGATTAAGTTCTTAATGTAATATTAAAGAGAATTATTTTAATTCAGGTTGACATTTAATTTCGATAGTAAACATTGTATGATTACAAGTATATTTTAAATCTATATCATACGGGTCACCAACGAATCAAAATTTGTACAAATATAGAGTGCTTTTAAACCGGTGAAGGAATTGCTAAAGGATTGGGAGTAACTTTGGCCCCATGAATTTTTTTGTCTAATAGTAATTTTGGTCCATGTTAGTTTAATTGTGTTCAATTAAGCCCTAATCCTCTAATTTTTTTATGATTAAATATTCTTTTGGGCCCTATTAATTTTTAAAAATTTAACAATTTAACTACTCCCACTATCATCTAATCTCAATTCCGTCCCTGCTTTGAACACGAAGTATCTAATCTTCAAAGTCTTCGCCAATCTCACTATTTTGCCTCTGAACCCTCCCCATCGTTGAAATGTGCATTTTCTTCTCTAGTATTTTCATCCGATCCATTTGACGCATTGCTTTCTTTGATTTGGCCGTGGCTTCCCCTCCCGTCTTCTCCACCGTCGGATCTGAATCAGTTCCCACTTTCTTGGTTTTGTCCGTCATGGCGGCTGCTGCTTCTGCCGTTTCCACCTTTGGCTCAGTCTGATGATCTTGCTGAGTCGTCGAGTTTTCCCTGCTGGTAACAGTGAGTACAGTTTCGGGTTTTACGCCATTGGAGGACGAAAGCAACGTCGTTTTGATGTCGTCGTCGTTGATGATGGTGGTGGTGGTATTTACTTCGTCGTTCTCTTCTCTTTGTGCATGCTTTTCGAAATCGCTTTCCCGTAGGCGGCCGTATTTGGCCCGGTAAACCTCGAGCTCGATCTCTATGTCGTTGAGTTCCTCCTCTCTTTTGGCCACCAGATTGGTCATCTCCTCCGGTGTTTCTTGGTCGTACACGGCTTGTTCTTCCATCATCCTCTGGTACTGCAACGCCTCCATTTGAACCGCCGCTTTCTCGGCTTGTAATCTGGTGATCATCGCCATCGCGTTGTAGGCCGCCACGGCGGAGGCGTTGCGTTCTTCGTCGAGTTCCATGTACAGTGCCATCAATGACTTCCGCCCCATGCGGGGACTGCTGGGGATATGGCCTTCGTCGTTGCAA